GACACACACACACAGACACACACACACAGACACACACACACACAGACACACACACACACAGACACACACACACACAGACACACACACACACAGACACACACACACAGACACACACACACAGACACACACACACACAGACACACACACACACAGACACACACACACACAGACACACACACACACAGACACACACACACAGACACACACACACAGACACACACACACACAGACACACACACACACAGACACACACACACAGACACACACACACAGACACACACACACAGACACACACACACACAGACACACACACACACAGACACACACACACACACAGACACACACACACACACAGACACACACACACACAGACACACACACACACAGACACACACACACACAGACACACACACACACACAGACACACACACACACAGACACACACACACACAGACACACACACACACAGACACACACACACAGACACACACACACACAGACACACACACACACAGACACACACACACAGACACACACACACAGACACACACACAGACACACACACACACACAGACACACACACACACAGACACACACACACAGACACACACACACAGACACACACACACACAGACACACACACACAGACACACACACACACAGACACACACACACACAGACACACACACACACAGACACACACACACACAGACACACACACACAGACACACACACAGACACACACACAGACACACACACACACAGACACACACACACACAGACACACACACACACAGACACACACACACACAGACACACACACACACACAGACACACACACACACAGACACACACACACACACAGACACACACACACACAGACACACACACACACACAGACACACACACACACAGACACACACACACAGACACACACACACACAGACACACACACACACAGACACACACACACACAGACACACACACACACAGACACACACACACAGACACACACACACACAGACACACACACACAGACACACACACACACAGACACACACACACAGACACACACACACACAGACACACACACACACAGACACACACACACACAGACACACACACACACAGACACACACACACACAGACACACACACACACAGACACACACACACAGACACACACACACAGACACACACACACACAGACACACACACACAGACACACACACACAGACACACACACACACAGACACACACACACAGACACACACACACACAGACACACACACACACAGACACACACACACACAGACACACACACACAGACACACACACACACAGACACACACACACACACAGACACACACACACACAGACACACACACACAGACACACACACACACAGACACACACACAGACACACACACACACAGACACACACACACACAGACACACACACACACACAGACACACACACACACACAGACACACACACACACAGACACACACACACACAGACACACACACACACAGACACACACACACACAGACACACACACAGACACACACACACAGACACACACACACACAGACACACACACACAGACACACACACACACAGACACACACACACACAGACACACACACACAGACACACACACACACAGACACACACACACACAGACACACACACACACAGACACACACACACACAGACACACACACACACAGACACACACACACACAGACACACACACACACAGACACACACACACACAGACACACACACACACAGACACACACACACACACAGACACACACACACACAGACACACACACACACAGACACACACACACAGACACACACACACACAGACACACACACACACAGACACACACACACACACAGACACACACACACACAGACACACACACACACAGACACACACACACACAGACACACACACACACAGACACACACACACAGACACACACACACAGACACACACACACACAGACACACACACACACAGACACACACACACACAGACACACACACACACAGACACACACACACAGACACACACACACACAGACACACACACACAGACACACACACACACAGACACACACACACACAGACACACACACACACAGACACACACACAGACACACACACAGACACACACACACACAGACACACACACAGACACACACACACACACAGACACACACACACACAGACACACACACACACAGACACACACACACAGAC